CCTCTTCCCTCCACGCTGGTAAAGGGGTTGGAAAGAATTCTGTAGGCTTTCTCTACCTTATTTAATCTCAGTTTGCAAGGGAAGCAGGGAGACCCTCTCTGTGTCTGGATTCCACTGTAAATGGCTTGCTTTTATTCAGCCCCAAGATGTGATCAGGCAGTGTGTGAACATAATTTAAATAAACTTTTCATCCTAGCTCAAGGACTTGTTAAATTTAAATATTAAGAGTTTTCAACTGATTCAGGCAGACACCAATGTACAGTATATACAGCACTTCATCTCTTTCACATCAGTTATCAAATCAGTTAAAGTGAAATGCTTCTGAATGTAAGCTGGTACATTTAGTGATGTGTTTAAGGAGAAAAGAACCATGCCCAGTATACTGACAACTGTGAGCCCGCTAATTTGCTGAAATACTAAGTAAACCTGGGAGTGTCAAGAGCAACTTAAGGAAGGAAGTAGGCAGCCAATCCATAAAGCCAGAATGTTATTTAATGAATTTATATACAGTACTACTTTTTAGAATCAAGAGGACTTACTATAATGAAAACATTCCCAGCAATAAAATGCCTATAATAAAATCAGTACAATTTAAACTTCATAAAAGTATATCAACATACAAATATTAAAATATAAACTTGAGCAATGAAACAGTAGCAATAAACATTTAGGATACAATTCTATACATACAGACCTGGGTTTTGCATATGTATAAAATTGCAGCCTTTTGTTTTGAAGGCTGGCATATTGTTTTAAAACTACAGAAAGACAAAGTCATCTGAACTTACCAGTTTTTAAAAAGTTCATTTTGTTTAAAATCTTTTTTTCTAAAACAGAGATATTAATATATCAAAGCAATTAGCCGATTTCCAAGAGATTTAAGCATATTCATGTATTTAAAACTGTTAATTTTGCCAATGGCCTGATTTTAATTAATTATTTATACATGCACCCAGAGAAAAAGAGAGAAAGGGTGCGAGATTAATGCAGAGTTTAATAT